GCGATACCGTTTGGAATGAAAGTCGCAAGGTTGATCAGTCACTGAACGGAAAGATGCCAGTCTTTCTGAAAAATGTTAACATTATTCACATCCATTTAAAAAAGTACTTTACTGCCTTTCCTCCCAGACGAATCACATGTGCCATAAACAAAAAATATTAAATGTTGGCGGGTAATTTTGTATTCCATGACAAATGCGACTATAAAATTGCATTTTTTTGTAAGCATTCGAAGCTCAAAACAATCACCTGGAAACCACTACTTCCAGTTTGTTTTTTAATTAATATTTTTATATTAACTCTTCATATCACGTTGTTATCGCTTGTTGTCCCCTTGTTTCCCGGCAGCCCTGGTCAATCACCATCTATCCCAACGGTACGGGAGCCGACCTATAGTTTTGGCCGGAGCTCTTGGTTCCTGTATCAGTCTACTGGTGGCCGCCTATTCACCTAACATTGCCTTATGGGTAATTGCAATCGGTTTTGGTGTCGGTGAGTACCTCTCATCCCTCAAATACGATTTTTTCAACATTCCCTTGCTCCGCCGATCTCGGTTGTTTATGATTCTCCGTCCCGTTATATCTTGTCCTGATCGGATACGGTTGTCCGTTCAATGGTTCTACTATTCTTATCGAGGTGGCCGAACTGCTTCCGCAATTCTTGCTCGATGTGAACGGGCCAGACCCCACAGATTCAGCAATGAGTGCCTTTTATCCCGGCTAACATCTATGTAATGTACAATTTAATCCTGCCTAAAACACACAGACTAGCAACAGAATAGATAGTTAAATGAACGGTAGGCGGATCGTAGTGTAAACGGAGTTGTATGTGGTCATTTGCTGCAGGTTCTGGCGTCTGTACTTTGAGTTCAAAATTTTATTATGGGTGGTTTAACAAAGCTAAAGTTTATCATGCCCCATAGGATGTTTATAGAATCTTTACAAAGAGAAAATAATAATAATAGTATGCATGATAACTCACGGATATCGAAATGTTGAGTGTTATCACGCCTAATTAAGCTACGATTCAGATAGTTCAACTGTAGGAGCACACACCACATGGGATGGAAGTGAATTCCATACACCGCACACTCTGACTGCAAACGAGTGATAACGGTAATCAAGGTGGCTGTTCTGGGTCTTCAACTTGAGTGAATGTCACCTAAGGTGATCATTTTGAGATAAAGTCAGCATAGAACGGCAAAGGTGATTGGATTGTTGCAGTTTATGGTATGTCAAGATTAGCCTCTCCCCCCCCC